AGTGGCTTGAGACCAGGAGTTCGAGGCTGGCATGAGCCATGGATAGCACAATGCCATCATGCTAGAGGGAAATCGAGCCAGTGACGGGACACTAACTGGAGTTTGTGGAGATCAAGTTGAGTCCTGGCTTTATAACTAGCTCTTCACACATCCCTGGAGAAATTACCATGGGCTTCTAATAGTTTCCAACACTCCATCTCGTAATATAGTGATCCAGGCATTGTGCTGTGCTATTATCTAATAATAATTGAAACCTCATAATAGCCCAGCAGGGAGTAAGGTTATCCTTATAAATGTGACCAAAACTGAGGCCCAGGAAAGGGTGAATGTCTACCCGTAAGGTCACAGGTGCTGTGACAAATTGCAGCAGAAAGGACCCGGGCAATGGTGGCTCACCACCTATAATGCCGCAGCCACTTTGGGAGACCAAGGCAGGAGGATCACCTGAGGTCAAGGAGTTGAAGACCAGCTGACCCAACATGGCGAAACCCATCCCTACTAAATAAAAATATTAGCAGTAATTCCAGCTACTTGCGGGAGGCTGAGGCAGAAGAATCATTTGAACCTGCGGCAGTGGAGGTTGCAGTGAGCCAAGTCACACCACTGTACTCCGGCCTGGGTGACAGAGGAAAACTCTGTCTAAAAAAGAAAAAAACAAAAAAAAACCATGTGCAGCCCAGAATGATCTTTTAAAAGTGCACATCTTGGGGCTGGACACTGGTCACTCATGCCTGTTAATCCCAGCCACTTTGGGAAGGCCGAGGCGGGCGGCATCACACGGGGGCAGGGGCCAGTGTGTGGGAGGGTCAGGAGTTCGAGACCAGCCTGGCCAACATGGGGAAACCCCGTCTCTACTAAAAATACAAAAATTAGCCAGGCATGGTGGCGCGCCACCTGTAATCCCAGCTACTCAGGAGGCTGAGGCAGGAGAATCACTTGAACCCAGAAGGCGGAGGTTGCAGTGAGCCGAGATCACACCATTGCACTCCAACCTAGGTGACAGCGAGACTCTGTCTCAAAAACAAAAAACAAAATCCCACAAAAGTGCACATCTGATCACATCCCTCCCGGTTAAAAAGCTTTCAGTGACTAATCAAGTGCAGACTTTTTAATGAGGCTAACAAACCCTGCATGATTTGGTCCCAGCTCTTTTCAGTAGCGCTACTGTTCAAGTTCCCTTCTGTCCCCTGCTTCCTCCTCATGGTACACTCCAGCCCAACTGGAACTTCTTTCCGTTTGTCACATGCCTCCACTCTCTCTTGCCTCTGGACCTTTGCACGTGCTTTCTGTAGACTCAGAACAACCTTCCTTGGGAGGCTAAGGTGGGCGGGTTGCTTCAGCCTAGGAGTTTGTGACCAGCTTGGGCCTGGGCAACATGGTGAAACCCCAGCTCTACAAAAAAAAAAAAAAAAAGCCAGGCATGGTGGCATGTGCCTGTAGTCCCAGCTACTCAGGAGGCTAAGGTGGGAAGATCACCTGAGCCTGAGAGGTCCAAGCTGAAGTGAGCCAGAATCATGCCACTGCACACCAGCATGGGTGAAAGAGTGAGACTCTGTCTCCAAAACATAAAAAAGAACACTTCCTCCACATCATGCTTCTCGGAGATAACTCCTGCTCATCCTTCAGGTCTTCTTGTGGGAGTCAGTTCCTCTGAGAAGCTGCTCCAGTCCTTCAGCTGGAGTTAGCGCCCTTCTCTGGGCGCCCATAGTGTCGGGACATCCTCTAAATGTAGCACTTAGCTGCTTGTTAAATTCCCTCCCTGCCCCACCTCACTAGACCATGCACTCCCTGAGGGCAAAGCCCACATCTCTCCCAGTCCCTGGGGTGCTCCGCTCTCCCAGCTCGGGGCCTAGCACACAGTGGGCACTCAGTCACTGACGGGCAGATGGATGAATGGGGAAGCAGGGGCTCCAGTAACATCAGTCCGACTTCCAGATCTGTGTCTTTCTAAGCATCTCTCTTACCTTTTTCTTGCTCAGCAGTGGTTGGAGAATAAGTGGGAGCATCAAAATGGAAAAGTACACTGAGATCTTTGAGTCTGAAATTACTTATCTATAGAACGTTTATTATGCCTCTTAATATGCAGAATACTTTGCTTGACTCTAAAGGGTTTTGAATACATCTCAGCTCCAAGAGGGTGGGTGGGAATAGAAGTCACCCACATCCAAAATCTACCCTCCTTACCATAGCCCTAAGACCCATGATCAGACCTGTGCCCACCTTGCTGACCTCCTCGTCTCATACTTCCTTTCCCCTTGCTCTCTCTGCTTCAGCTATCCTTTGTTCTGTCTGGAGCACGCCTGGCTCTTCTGTCTCATGGCTTTCTCCAGGCTCTTCTCTCTGCCTGGAATGCTCTTCCCACAGACCCCCCGCTTCTTTCGGCTCCAACATCCTGTCCTCAGAGGGGTCTTTTCTGGACCCTCACTACAGCTGGCCTCCACTTGTTCTATCATTTCCCATCTTTCCTCTGTAGCACATCACTTCTGAGAGTTTCTCCATTACTTACTTGGTTGCTTTTTTATTGGCCATCTCCCTAACTTGAGATAAGCTCTGAGAGGGCAGGAACCTTATCAGTCTTGCCCACTGCTCTATGCCAGTGCCTGGCACATAGCAGGCAACTCAGTAAACATCAGGTGAATAAATGAATGAATGAATCCTCTAGCAACTCACTGGGGCAGCTCATCCCTTGGCCCTCAGGCCAGCGCAGCCTGTTACTGACTCATATCCAACTTAGCTCTTGTTCTGAGTTTGGTTTTACCCAGTCTTTGGTCTCCTTCTGGAGTACTGGCCCCAGCTCCTCTGGCACATAGTTTTGCTCTGTCTCCCCACCGTACAACCCAGCTGCTTACGCTCCTTGCCCTGTCTAGCTCCTCCTCCTCTGCTTATTGTAAATCCTTGGCTGCCACTCCTGAGGCCTGTGCAACTTCTGCTTCCTGAACTGTAGGTCCATTGTCCCCCAGTTCCCTGCCATTGCTCTCTACTGCCTCCTGCTGGCACTGAGTTGTACCATCCCTGCCCTTCCTCCGCCCAGCTGCAGGTGTTGATTGCACACTGATCAGAAATGTGTGTTAAACGCCCTGCTTCAGTTCTGCTAGCCAAAGAGCTCAGGACACTGACCTCATTCCTCCCCTGTCTTCCCACAGGTACGTCTCCTGTGTGCTTGGCTGCCCTTATGAAGGGAAGATCTCCCCAGCTAAAGTAGCTGAGGTGTGTGCATGTGTCAGGGTGGGGGGTTTGGTGAGGGTTGGCCACCTTGTCTGCCCCTGAGCGCATAGGTTCCTCTCCCCACCCTTTCCTGCAGGTTCCTGATTTCATTCATTCACCCAGCTCCTTCATTAAGCTCCCCCCGTGAGCACAGCCCTGCACTTGCTCCCTGGAGGACCCCCTCCTAACTGGACATGTAGTCCTTGAAGCCCCTGGCCTCTACCCAGCCTGAAAACCTCTGATTCAGTTTCCAGTCTGGTCGTTGAGGTGATTCTCTGAGGAGAGGCTCCTTACCCAGGAGTTCCCACAGTTCCTTGTAGTGATTGAAAGGCCACAACCCTGATGTCCTCTGAACAGTCACCAGGTCAACACTGAGAAGAACACAGCACAGGAATTGAGTTTGACCAGCCCAAGAACTTACGTCATTTAGTCCTCAAAACCACTGTGCAAATTTGGTGTTATTATTCCCTTTTACAGTTGAGGAAACTGACACTAAATAATTTGCCACAGGTTACAAATGGTGAAATCAGGTATCAAACCCCATTTTGTCTCCCTCCAAACACCGCTTCTTCCCCAGGATACCTTTGTGGCATCCAGATAGGGAGGGAATGGTAACAGTAGCAACTGTTTCATTGTTTTTTTCTTTTGAGGACCGGAGTCTTGCTCTGTTCGCGCCCAGGCTGAGTGTCAGTGGCCAGATCTTCAGTCTCACTTGCAGGCTCCGCCCTTCCCGGAGTCTCACACGCCATTTCTCCTCTGCCTCAGCCTCCCGAGTAGCTGGGACA